AGGCAGGAGGAGGAGTGAGGAGCATGGTGCTTCTGCATCAAGGGTATCACTGTGATTGTGTGTTGCCTGAGGAGAGCTACGGATGTGTTTGCTTCCACTTTAAATTTTTTAACATGTTTGAGTAACCCCTACAAACAAGCTTCTAACAACAGTTTTTGTCCTTAACACACAATCTTCTCTTTTCTTAACCTTGCGGGAATGGTTGTATAGGGGTATTGCACCTATTGTATCATGGAAATCAAGCTGCATCCATAGGAAATGTGGAAGTTCTGTCACAAAGCGTCGATCAGGACCCTATGCAGACGGTAGAATGCGGAAGGAAGTGAAACAGACACAGGGAGAAGACGACTGGGAACTGGGCAGGTTGACGAACGGGGGGGCAGATCCATCCAGGACAAAGAGAAGTGCAAGAGTCCAGAGCCGAGGTGATCCATCCAGGACAGACAAGACAAGGTTTAAAACCGGAGCAGGATCCGGTGCAGGGACGGGGAATAAACGTGGGTTAACGGGGCCAGGCGCTCCGAGCCCCGGACCCAGATGGTCAGGATACCGTGGTGAAGTAGGCAGGCTTCCAGGCGTCCATCTTTCTGAGCCCAGAACTGTAGGAACCTAAATAGGGAGGGGCTGGATAGGAGGCAGGTGCACAAAATCAACTAAAATGGAAAAGGCCGGAGCGCCCTTAAGAGGAGGGACTTACGATCGTGACAAGTTTGGCCAAACAAACTAGTAGTGAATGCAGCCAGTTACTGTGTTTTAATGGTGGGTTTACACTTGTAGGTACTTCCCAGTTCATACGGATGCTGAATATCCTACAGTAACATGGAGAGCAAGACTGATTGTAATACTGCCAGGACTGTTCACAGATCCCTTGTACATAAGTTAAGAACTAATTCCATGGCAGATCAAATCTGCAGATCTACCTCTTCTCCAACGTTCAAACAGCAAATGATCTCGACAATAAAGCACAAACTAGACAAAGCTGCTTATAATCAGGAGTCAAAGATAAAGCTTCAGTATCTCTCTTGATTAAAAGTTTGAAACATGTTTTGTAGCTGTAATTTAGTTGAAGTCTGAGTGTCCTGCTAAAATACATAGAATCTGTGGCAGAGATCTGGGCAATTGAAAGAGAGGTTACATTAGGACTGAATAAAAACTTGAGTCCCCAATAGTTCGTAAAGACTGCAGTTGCCATCTGCCTCTGTCTCAGGCACTGCTGTATACTGTGTACACAAACTGCTCTATTGCGTATCCGTCTGACAAGTGACCTTCTGAGATGTTGCTGCCATAGAAAGTGCAAGGAAGAGTTTCTACAATTACTCCAGGTCTAAATGCAACATAATACACACATAAAAAGATCTTTAAAGTAAGAGGAGTTCACAACTTGATGCAGGATTTCGGAAATTTGAAAGACATTGACAAACTCTCCCTGATGGACTGCAAGAGAACGAGAGCACAGCTGGAACACAGAGAGCAAGCAGCAGCTACCCAGGGTGGTGGGTGTCACGAACAAACTGCCAGACTAGGTTACTTGGGAACCTTTGAGAAATGGCTGGATGAGCTACCCGGATCAATAAACAAATTACTACCAGACGGCCACCAGGGGTCAGATGGCCGTCCCTCGGCTGTCTGCTTTCTAATGCTCTCACGGAAAGAGACGAGAGGACGGCCAGCTTGGCTGGAGTGGGCAGGATGTGGGAGTCAGGGGCGAGACTGGGCTCTGATTCTCTCAGCCTCTGCCCAGGCTGAGTCCTGGACTGAGGCTGGTGACCAGGACACTTGCACTGTACTTCACACCAATAAGACACTCAGACTTTATGGAGCAGGACTAGATTCTTAAACTATTGGTGGTACAATGAACTGGCACCTCAACAGCATTTTACTGTATAACATTGATTACAGAAGCATCTTTCTGTAATGTGGTGTTTTTACTGAGAATTCACAAGCTTGTTATGGAATATGACTTTTTTTCGCTTAACCACTTTATCGTGGGTTGGCATGGTGGCACAGTGGGCAGCTTTGCTGCCTCACAGCACTGGGACCCTGGGTTCAATTCCAGACCTGGAGATCTATCTGTGTGGAGTTTGCATGTTCTCCCCTTATTCTTCTGAGTTTCCTCCTGGTGTACCGGTTTCCTCTCATGGTCCAAAGACATGCTGGGAGGTTGATGGGCTTCAAGAAACATTAGCCCTGGTGTGTGTCTGTGTGTGCCCTGTGATGGACTGTATTGTATAAGGTGGTCAGAAATGGATGGATATTATCCAGCTGGTCATCAGCTTTGTTGGCTTTTCACTAGGTTATAACATACCCTTAGCTTCAATGGAACACTCTAGCCAAATAAGTTAAAGTTTAAAATCTCATCCCCCTGTGCAGTATGAACATTATTTTATATATACTGAACTTTGCCGACATATTGTATATTGAATAATTGTGTCTACCATACTAAAATAAAGTTTGCAGATTTAATAAAAATATGGGGGACTGTAAATGCAACAGGCTTGGCAAGGGACATTGACTAAATCAATTGGATGAGGAAGATACTGTGTAAATATAAAGTTAAGGTTACTAAGTGTAAAGGGATCTACATTGATGGTAGGAACATGAGGTACACAAATTACCTGAGTGACTCAGAGCTGCAGGAAGATACAGATTAAGGAGTTAATATCGATTCTTCTACCGTGTGTGCTCATCAAGTCAATAGGGGGGAGCAATAAAAAGACCATTGTTTGCATTTATAGCAGTTTCCTTGTGAAATTTCATTGAAGAGAAGTTACACTCAAGCTGTAGAACTCTTTAGTAAGACCTCAGTGTGAATATAGCTTGCAGCTTTGGTCACCATGCCACGTAAAGCACTTCAGAGCATCAGAAAGAGTTGAAATGACATGTCCTTCATTTGGAAAAATAACATTTCGGGGTCACAGTATCGTGCCACGCGGTGATTTCCGTGGGGCCCAAACGAATGTCTTTCTGCACGCAGGACTGTGTTTACTGTGTGGGAAGGACAGAGCAACAGCTGCTCATCGCAAAGTATCTCTCCTCTGGCCTCCACGATGGGACAGCAGCCTGGCTGAGGGGGTCTTCAGGCTGCACAGTGCCGGGGAAAGCACTCGAACAGCTGAGCTACTGCAATTCATTCCACCACGCCAGTCTTACATTTTCTATCTTTGCAAGAGGCAAGAAATGATGAGGTTACTAGTAATTCAAGAAAAGGTTTATGAACTGCATAGATTTCATAGAATTCTCCCTATTCTCACATATTTTAGACCTAAAGCTTCATCAAAGCCTTAATAAAAGATAACCTAATTAGACATATAACACAAAGACATAGGATATACTTAGTTTATTCAATTAAAAATGTATCCAACAGTGTTCAAGTATGTGAACCCTTTAGATACAGTGACTGGTGATTCAGCAGGAAGTCCAGGAAAATTAGACAATACCCGTAACCATGACACATGCCCCCGATCCACTGTAGTAAAATATAGTGAACGCATGTAAAGACACAGTAAAGCACAGCAGCACCAAGTGCAAAAATACTACAATCAATTTCCCAAGGAAACGAGGAGAAGGAAAGACACACTCATGGAAAAGAAGGAAGATAACATGAAAAATAGTGGTACTATTGCAGAAGAGGAATAAGCACCAGAAACAGAGCTTGATTTCAAAGAATCAGCCAAGAGCTCCTGGAGAAACAACACGGTTCTTATTCAAGCGGTTTCTGAATCACGAGAGCTGTGCGGGGTGAATTGAGCCACGCTACACTCACAGCTGCTACAGCACACAGCCACAGCGCAATAAAACTTGCATGAGCAGAGGATGCTACTCCAGTGTTGAGTGAATTCCATTTATAGGTGCCAAAGCCGTGTTTCGGCTGAAGCCTGGAGGCTCAGTATTGTACAAGTGTGAGAAGCCTGAAGCAACACAAAAAAATAAAAGAGACATCATGCTCGACCAGCCAAGATTTTTGCTCCTAATCTCCTGCTTTCTTCTGTTTCCTTCAGTTTGTTGTGATATCTTGTTTTTTTAGGTCAGAAGGAATGTGGGCAAGCACTCTTGAATAAGGGGGAT